GGCGTTGCCGTGGTGGTGTCATCTCGTGTTCGGAGTCCGAGTCGATGGAAGATCCTTGACCATGTTCATCCTCTTCCACATCAGCCAGGTTCTGCCGGTTGACCCTGTTCAGGTCATAGAAGCGGGTGACTCCTCGAGACTTCAACTGGCGCACAGTGTTCAAGGCAAGCTGGGTGTCATCAATGGCATGGTTCAAGCTCTTGACATCTGCCCGAACATGGTGTGGTGCGCACCTGATCAGCTGTGACTTGAACGCTAACCAGTATACCGACACAGGGCCCTCATCTTCATCAGTGCCTGGGCGGCGCTCTTTCATGACCACTTGTGCTGGTCCCAACCATCGGATCTTCACGAGATCGGGCTGTCGAGCATCCCTCCAGAACCAGACCTGTTGACCCAAGGCATACTCCGAGTTGGTGCCCTTGTACTTGAGGTTGAGAGCTCGTCGTAGGCGACGATCTGCATCAGCATCATTCAGTGCCTTGCGAGCAGCATGCCTCTTGGACAACATTTCCTCAAAGGTCTGATTGCCGCCAAAGTGCACTGGCTGAGTCGAGTCGGAGAGGAGATCACCAGCCAGACTCGGCTGGTAGCCCAGGACCCATTGAGCAGGAGAAAACCCTGCTACACCAGGAGCGCTGTTGATCTGAGGGATGATGTAGCATAGTGCTTCCTGAATGCCAGCGGGGCCATCAACTTTCATGTCATCAAGGTACACCTCAACTGACTTTCGGATGACTGCATGGCGGCGCTCCACCAATGCCAAGCGCTCATGGGCCTCGCCGGGAGCCACGATGTGGTTGATGTTGTGAGCGGACGTCCATTCGTCCATTTGAGTGCTGAGCCATCCACGACCCTCATCTGTGAGAAGTGAACCGGGCGCACCATAGTGTGCAATCCAAGCTCGCTCAAGGGCCTTGATGTAGTTTTCAGTGTGCTCCGAGTTGACGAGAACCGCAGCTGTGAAGCGAGTTGCTGAATCGACCATGCTCATCACAGCATATTTCTGAGAACCACGGCGTAGCCACATCACATCGGCCTGGAGCACTTCATTGAACTGTGTGTTCTTGGGCATAGCAGCTGGTGCGGCTTGAGCAGGCTTCTTGTACTTCGCACAAGCGAAGCAGCGATATGTCTTCGCGGCTTGAAGGATTGCATCTGATGCACCTCTTGCCTCAAGAAGTTCCACCAAGGCGGCAGGTGCAGGATGTCCCAAGTTGCGATGCAATCGCTGCACAGTGCGGATGGCATCCTGCTTGGTTTCACTTCGTAGCTTGATGAGAGAGCTTGTAGTCTCTCGCTCGTCCTCAGCCGCATGGCTGGTTTCCCAGTAGGTCGGCGGCTCATCAACGGAAAGGGCAGCAGCAAGAGTGGCGGCCAATGCAGGCTGGTACTCTTCAAGATACCTGGTACGTGAGCCGTACCCAGGTGCATAGCCCTCCAAGGTGCAGTGCTCATGATCGTGTTGACATAGAAGATGAAGAGCATCCTGCACAGACTGCTTGGTCGTCAACAGGGAGGTGTTCTTCTGAACTGGCTTCCAAATGCCATCGTTGTCCAGGCATTGAGCTCCATATCTGCACTGAGAGAAGTCTGTTCGTCGGCCAGGAAGATCACGAAGAGCTCGGGTCTGCCATGAGAGGGCGTTCTTCGGTTGCTCAATAGTCGCATGTCGACCTCCAGAGACCTGAGCCAGGTAGCCACGTCGCACGAACATCAAATGCCTGTCGTGGTGGTGTTGGCGAGCTGCACGAAGGGCTTCCTTCTGAGCTGGAGTGCGACGTCCAAGAGACTGCATCTTGCTCCATAGTTTGCACTCCGGTGCCATCAAAAGCTCGTCGGGGTTCTCTTCGTCAAGAAGACGGAGAAACTCTTCTTGATGGTCAAGGCGCTCAAAATCCCAGCCAGTCTCATAGGAGAAACAGCGAGTCTCCATGCCCATAGTCTCGGCCATCTGTGCCGTTCTGGCTTTTCCACAGTAGACCTCCCACAGAATGCGAGGTCGTTCAGGCTGATGAAGTTCCCTGGTGATGTAGGCCGAGAGGTCATTGAGCTGAGTGCTGAGGTGCACATCCATTGTCTTCAGCTCCTGCCTCCTCAGTGGACGGGTCTTGGTGTCATTGGTCTCATCGAGGTGCTCGAAGGTGGTGAAGCCGTGCTCGGCAGTCATGAAGTCCTGAAGACGGTAGCCGTCATGTTGTTCGATGCCTTGGTCATTCGTGCGGAGAACAAACTCAGGCCGTCCAGGGTCGTAGTTCACACTGAGGAACTCGTTGGTGAGGGACCATAGATACTCACCTTGTCGGCCTAGAGTTGCGGGCATCCAAGATGAACTGCCGATGCGAAGGCGCTTTTGAGCGAAGTCCATTGTCATGCCCAAGGCCTCAATGATAGGCCTTCCACAGAGCATAGGCGTGTTACCCGGCAGCAGGAACAACTCAATGGTGCCATACTTTCCATCCACAAAGGTCGGGACGTGTGCTGACCAGTCGGACCACATAGAAGCATCGCCTCCAAACTGAAAGCGTCTCCGGCCTTTGCTCATCTTGATGGTGTCCACCGGAAACTCCAGTGCACGAAGGTGATCCAGATACCTTCGGAAAGGTCCATAGCCTGACAAGAAGGCGCTAGCACCAGGGTCGAGCATGACGCAGTCAGGGCGTTCAGCACCGCCGGAGTCCTGGAAGATCAACAAAGCTCGCTCTTCCAGTGGTGTGGACATGGCCATCGCTTCAGTGGTAGAGGCTGGTCGTTTGATTGCCGGGGTTCGTGAAGTCGGACTTGATGACTGGGGGCAGTTAGCAGCCCAATGCCCTGCTTGTCCACATCGAAGACAGTTCATGTTGGCCTTGGCTCTGCCACGGGGATCAGGTGGAGGTCGGTTCACTGACTTCGATTTGCCACCTTTCACATTCCCTTTTCCTTTCCCTTTTGCCCTCCAAGAAGACGGAGAGCCGGATCCGGTAGCCGTCGATGTAGGTGCACCTCCACTGTCCGTCAGTGCGACGATGGGCAGATAGCCGCGGGAGGTCTTCAGCTCTTGAAATCGTCTTCGGGCATCCGTGTAGGAGGCAAAGGCGGAATCATAGGCGGCAGCCATTTGAGAGGGACTGTTCGCTTCTTCATTGTCAGGCCAGGGTTCTTCTTCACCATAGTACCCTGCATCATAGTCAAAGTCCTGACCCTCATCATCATAGGCCTCATAGGCGTGACCCTCTTCCAGCCAACTGTCATCCTCCTCATAGAATCCATGTTCCCACTGTTCATCGTCCTGGTAGGTCTCCTCGTCATAGTCGTCGGCCACATAGGCACGGTGGTTCTTCCAGGAGTGAGACTGGATTCCGAAGCGGCGGTTCCGCTCAACAGTCCATCCTCCGCCCTTGTAATCCTGTCCGAGGATCAAGTAGAGCGCTTCAATCACCTCATTCTTCTCCATGGTAGGTGCCTTCAAGGTGATGAGCTGTCGTTGCTCTCTTGATAGCCCGGCACGTCGGAGTAGATGCCATCCCTGAACAGAGGCTGGGAGCTCCACTTTATGTTGCTGCAACTTGCGGTAGGCCTCTTCGTGGTCGTTGATGAACATGAGCAAGGTCTGGCCTCCTTGACGTTGCAACAAATTGAAGTAGCTCTCAAAATCTGCAGGAAGCTGGACTCGGGCATCGTAAGCAAAGTTTCGATCGAGGACCTCAATGATCTTCGGGAAAGCATCGGTCTTCTCGAGGTCCTCAAGTGCCCAATCCTGAAACAATCGCCAGGTGAGTCCAGTGAAGCTGCCAACTATGTTGAGGACGCTCTCATTGCCTCGTTTGGTGATGGACATCTTTCGATGATAAAGGTGAATCCTCTGTCGCCATTCGCGGTAGTCACTAGGCTGACCGCTGAACACGGGAACGTAGGAGTCCCGGAGATCCAGGTAGCTGGTACCTGAGGCGCTTCCCGATCCGGATGCCTGCGTCGATGTCTTCTTCTGTTGGGCCATGGTGCCAAAGAACTCTTCTAGGACCTGCTTGGATGCTGGGGTGTTGAAGTAGCAGATGAAAAAGGCCAAGCAAAGAACTAGACAACCTGAAAGAGCTCCTTGGACCGTCCTTGACGTAGGTCTTCTTCCGAGCGTTCGGGAAGTCGTCGCGGAGAGCGCAGGGCAGGGAGCCCAGGTCACCCCGGGCTCCGCTACCAATGTCGAATTGTCGTTGTAGCGCACGAGGTCCACAACCAAGGGGAAAACAAGGCGAAGCGACGAGTCGCGACGCAAGCGCAACGAAGCGCGCACCCGTGCCTCTTTTGGCGGTTCGAGCCCACCCTCTGTCGGTGGAGTGGGTGATCAAGTCGTGATCGAAAGACTGTCGCGACGACATGTCGTGACTCATGAAAAGTGAAAAACACACTGCACAGCATGTTGCACAGCGTGCAACTTACACCATGAAATATATGTTCTTCCTTCCCGCAGGTGTTGCCAGATGGGTCACATCGTTCGAGTCCTAGCTATTTAGACACTTATATGTGTTCATTCTCCTGGCTTTGCTTAAGGTGATTCCCTATTTTCCTTCAAACTGGACGCCAAGAGGCCTTGCCGAAGCAGCTCACCCTGCTGTCCTTGCGCGGCAATCCCTGGCCACACGGAAGTCGATGTCTCCGCTGTAGAGGGGGGGGAGAAGGTGTTGAAGCAAGAGGCTTGGCCTGCCAGCCATCGCCCATGGCCTGCAATCTTCCAGTTCAGAAAACAAAATACCTTCGGTTCACTCAGTTTCTAACCTTGCTTGAGGCTGCACTTGCCAGAAAGCAGCTGATGTCATAGAAGAATTTGGCCAACGAATTCTGCGTCCGGGTGTCTTGTTGGCTCACGACATGGGGAGGTAGAAAGACGATCCATGTGTTACACAAACGCCGGACATGACAACAGGCGCCCAGAAACCACCTGTGAGGGTTCTAAGACCACGTGTTGGAAGAGAGGAATGAACAGATTGATAAAAGTTATACAATTATACGAATTGGATATATACATATTAGTACATATTATTGTTATGCTACATGTATCCATGCCAGGAGGGCGCTGATAGATGTTAATTTAGAATGTTGAGAGGAAAGGGCATGCCAAAAAGCAGAAGACAATGATGAATTGTTTCTCCTTGAGCGTTTGAAATGAAGGAAGGTGAAACCTTGGAGTCTGCCATGACTGCTCCTGCAGGACCACCAGAACACACCTGAGAAGTTCCAGCCTCCAAGCGAAATGGGTGTAGCAGAAATGTGACATCAAGATCAGCTAAGATTGTGCATGGAGTGTTTGCAAATCAGCCATGGCGATGATGAGACTATCAGCACTGCAGTTTAATGGCGAGATGATTTGTGTCGAAGTCACACCAGGGGTGACCGGCAGAGAGCTCAAGCAGCAGATCAAAGAAATACGACTATTGGATGAAGTTGCTCGCCAAACTACTGTGGTGGAGATTGTTGTCGGAGACAGGCTGCTGGGCAATGATGAAAAAGTGGCCAATGTCGGGGCAGATTTGCACGTACACGTCGTTTTCAAGCAAAACAGTGTGAGATGCTCCAGCAGGTGTGCAATTACCAGCTCTGAAATTGACTTGGACCATTTGCTCGTCGTTGAAATCCCAGAGGGTGAAACCACCATTTCTGATAGTGCTTTTGAAGACTGCCAAAGATTGGCCAACTTGATCATTCCAGACTCAGTCACTCACATTGGGTGTCGCGCCTTTCAGGGTTGCACCAACTTGGTGAACTTGGCCATCCCTGACTCCGTGACTCACATTGAGAGTGGTGCCTTTCAAAACTGCACTTCATTGGTGAAGTTGATCATCCCCAACTCAGTGACCCACATGGGGAGTGGGGCCTTTCGGAACTGCAGCTCTTTAGTGAACTTGACCATCCCGAACTCTGTGACTCACATTTCAAACGTAGCCTTTCGGAATTGCAGTTCTTTGGTGAACTTGACCATCCCGGACTCTGTGACGCATATCGGGTATTATGCCTTTCAGGGTTGCACATCTGTGGTAAACTTGACCATCCCAGACTCAGTGATCCACATCAGGTATTGTGCTTTTCAGGGTTGCAGCGCTTTGGTGACCTTGACCATCCCAGATTCAGTGACCCACATTGGGGATTACGCGTTTGGGGGTTGCAGCTCCTTGGTAGACTTGGCCATCCCAAACTCAGTGACCAGCCTTGGTGTTGGGGCCTTTGCGAATTGCAGATCTTTGGCGAACTTGACCATCCCAGACTCGGTGACCCACCTTGGGCATCGAGCTTTTGAGGGTTGCCGCTCTTTGGTGAACTTGATCATCCCAAAAACCGTGACCCACATAGGCGACCATGCCTTTCAAAACTGCAGCTCTTTGGTGAGCTTATCCATCCCGAACTCCGTGACCCACATTGAGAGTGGTGCCTTTCAAAACTGCACTTCCTTGGTGAATTTGATCATCCCCAGCTCGGTGACCCACATTGCGGCCAGTGCATTTGAGAATTGCAGTTCTTTGGTGAACTTGACCATCCCGGATACTGTGACCCAGATTGGAGAAAGTGCTTTTGCACATTGCAGCGGTTTGGGCGCTTGAGAATCTCATGCTCCGGAAAGTGCCACCGAAACACCATGGGGAGTCCACGATAGCTTTTAGCTCCAAGTGCTGATGTTTGCCAAGGGGCTTCTCGCGCAGCTGAAAACAAGGAAACAATGAACACACTCACAGGCACTTTTTTTTGTGGCGCGGTTGGGTGGAGGAGGCCAAGCGATCCTTGTACCAAGCGATCCTTTACTTCTTGTGGTTGTGTACCCAGGTCACCTCAAATGTGTGGTCTCATGTGGTCTCTACTTTTTTCTCCTCTCCATCCTAATGCTTGCAATTTATGATTTCTCTTTATGACGTTTTATGATGTCAAACACCCTAATACGCCACCTCTCACAGAGACAGTCCCGCCCGTTACCTTTCACCAATGTTCATCCACCCAGGGCCTTTCGATTCTGGCAGGTCACGCCCCATGGGGACCCGTCATGAACACATCCACACGACCTTTCTGGGACTACAGACTCGGCGTGAAAAACCCACTCCAATGTATCCCTAGGGCTCCAGTCGTACCTTCGTTTTGAAGGTGGGACTGGGGTGGGTGCCAGGAGGGTCCAGTCATACCGAACCTGAGGAGGCACGACTGGAGCCCGGGTGGGTAAGTTAATATGGCAGTTTCAGGGAGTCTTGGAGTTTCATGGAGTTTACGAGTTTACAGTGGATCCACTGGATCCACAGCTTGCAGGGACTCCGACTCCATGCCCCCATGCCACCCATGCCGGCACCCAAGCGGGTGAAGCGTCACCGGCAGGTGACCCTGCGTGACGCCGTTTGAACGCTGCTTTCGTCATGCACGACCGGCTCGTTGGACGTGCAGATGCAGTGATGCTGTGATGTCCCAGCCCATTTTCTTCGGTGCGTGTCCTTTGAAAGGTAGGTGGATGGTCGTCCACTCCCAGGGGTCGTTCACTCGCGGGGTAGTTCACTTCCAGGTGGGGAAGTTCATTTTCGTCAAGTCCCGGAAGTTCTGAGGCAAGATCCAGAGCAGCTGGTCCATGTGCATTTGGCCAAGTTGAAGCAGCGGCGACCTGAGCACTCGATCCGTCTTGGCCGATTGGGTGCCGTCCATCCGTTTCAAGGACGTTTTGGACGTTCTTTGATTTCAGGATTTAGGTCGAACATGACCATGAATGGAGCCAAACCTTTAGCAGATTGAGCACTGACAGGCAAAAGGAATTCAACACCTAGTGTCTTCATGTGTCTTCCAATTTGGGGTGTCCAATGAGAGCGATTCAATGGCAAATTGAAAGCCCAGAGTTCTATGTCCCGATGTTCTGGGGGCCCCCCTACCTTCCAAGAGGCAGTAGCTGCTTGGGAGCGTAGCGCTCCTGGGTCATGTTCAGTGCCAGGAGCTTTGTGACCTCTGCGAGCCTTTTTTCGAGTGCATGTCACCAACCTCCACCTGTGTTGACCCTTTCTTTCCGGAGACCGACAAGGACACGTCGAGCGAGCGAAAAGGGACGCATGTGGGGTGCCAGCGAGCGAAAGCGTCCTCGTCCTCGGAATCGTACACTCCTCGGAACTCACATGGAAGTGGACCATGGCCTCTTGGAAGGCCATTTTCCTCTACAAACCGTTTTCCACTTCCATGCTACGTCCCACAAGGAGTATCCGTTTTTTGGGGCAGGATCGATCTTGTTCCCCCACTTCAGGAACAGGTCGAGGTGGGCCCACTGACCTTCGCCGTCCTGCGCCACCTGACGTTCCTACCCCCCACCGAGGCTGACCCACCTGGACCTGTCGTCCTGCCGCCTGGCACGCCTGCCGCAGCTGCCGCCGCAGCTGTCAGAGCTGCGAGTCAACTCGAACCACCTGCGCTCGTCCCAAGGGATCCGCCACTGTCGGAAACTCCGTGAGGCCCACGAACGCTGACCCGGCGGTGGCTATGTGGCTGGGATGTGGTCAGACGGGAGGTTGACCTTGACCGGTGACCGTCAAGCAAGGTGTGCTGGTTTTGGACCCACAGCCCATGGTGGTCCAAAAGCGACGCGTTTCCATGGTGCCCGGGCTAAGCTAGCATGTAGCAAAGTGACTGCAACACACAACTCCGTCAGGCCTGACGGACGAACCATTGCATGTTCACCGACAGGGCCGTCTCACCAACCGGTCCGTCTCACCAGTGGCTACCAGTCGAGTCGACTCCTAGACCTCCAAGTCGCCCAGTCGCCCGGCCGACGATGCATGGGGCACAGAACTAGACGCACAGGTGCACCTGGCGCGGAATGAATTGAAGAGCACGGAGGAACTGGAGATGCTCTTAGAACTTCAAGAGCCTCGGTTTTAGAACTTCAAGGGCTCTGGCTTCACAAAAAGGGGTTACTTACGCAGATGACTCCAGCCGGGTAAGTATGGTGCTTTGTGTTTCGGATGGCGTAGCAATGCGTAGCACATGGAGGATGTTCCCAAGAGAGGTGTTAAACATTTCGAGGGGACGAAGGAAAATAGCAGTTCATCCTCACCATCAAATATATTCCTTCTCCAAACCATCCATCATGTATGGAATAGTTGCAGTGTATTACTTGCATGAATTGGGTCATGTTCATCCTCCTGAAACCCCAAACAACCAGAAAGAAATGGATGTTTCCCCAGTCCCATCCATTTCCTATTGTAAAGCATTTCAAGCAAGCCATATTGGAACAACCATTTCTTTCTGGTTGGGACTGGGGTTCCAGGTCTTGTATTAACGCATGTACCTGTTCCAGTCCCAAGACCGGTCTGGCTTCGACCAGAACGTTGGTGGAGGGATCGATGGTGGGCGCGCGCGCAGGAGCTAGCAAGAGAGGTTGAACAGCCCTGTCTGGTCGCCCATCCCATAACGTACCACTATGGGGTCCGAACGTGAAGCGACCTCTCAACCTCTCTTGGTAGAGTTGAGATGGCAGGAAGAGAGCTCGAAGATTTTGTGATCCCAAACACCTCAGAGCAGATTAGATTCAATTACCCTGTACTGCTTGCGGCGCAGCAATAAACCTTTCACGGAAGGCTTGTACATTTGAAGGAGACTGAATGATCACGTAAGAGGGTCAAATAGGGTCAATTTCGCTTCAATTCGTTGAACGTGATCTTCCCAGTGCATTCGTTGGTCAAAGTTTGAACCTTGTCGGATGCGGGTGCCAGGAGCCCAAACATTCTTGCAACTTCTCCAGCCGAGGTGCTGGATCTCTCTGAGAACTCTTTGACCTCCATCCAGTCGCTTAACTGAACGGGCGCGTGAGCTGGAGAAAATGGCAGGAGCTAATAGATCTAGCTACCTGAATGACCTCCAGTTTGGACCATCAACCGCCCAAACTAGGGCCTTTTCCAATAACAACCAGGGTTATGTTTGGATTCTAGCTATATATAGGCACCTTTTGCTTGGAGAGGGGTTGATTTGACTATGTTTAATCCATCTCGGGTGCAGATGCACCTCGTTCCATGGGATACGATGTGTCCCTGAAGGGGTCTACAGGAACAATGAAGGTCTTAGGCTGGGGATTGGAAGAAAAGCATGCAGGATGGGGAGCGTGACCAAGCATGGGCAGTGGTACAGAAAAGGAACCGCCAGGTGGGCCAGGAAAAACCGACCTCGACCGGTTTCAACCTGGGACAGCGTGTTCACCAGCAGCAACGACCCAAGACCTTGCTCTATCTCGGCTCGCGAAGCTCAACATCTATCCCATACACGCCCCCATGAGACTATAAGATTTGCCACCCCAACTGGCACATGTGGCAGTCCCGTGGCAGTGCATTTGGGTGTGGTTTTCTTGGCCAAGGTACTCGTTTGTCATGGCCTCAGTGGAGGCCATGCTTTCTAGGGTCCATTCCAGCCCAGACACGCCATGGGACTGGCATATTTGCATACATTTTCAGGGGCCAATGTAGGCACATCTTTCATACATGGAGTGTTTGGGCATTGGCCCATTTTCAGCCACATGTAATTAAGTACGCGATGCCACATTATGCCGCTATGCCTGTCAATAGTGTTTGGAGTACACAGACATGGCTACAACCCGTTTTGATCCATTTTGGGTATGTTTTGACTCCTTCTTTGCGTTGCAGGTTTGGAATACACAGTGTTCATACCCTTCTTCGTTCCAATGATATACACCCCAGTGGATCCCAGGCAAAATCACGTAGTAAGGAACCAGGGGCCCGAACGGGTCACCGGTCGAACTGGCGAGCTCGTCGAACGGGCGAGCCACTCCGCCGATCAGTTGAACGGCGCCAGTGGCAGTCCCCTTCGTCGTGGGACTGGGACTGGGACGTCCCAGCGACATCGGTTGGATGCCGCCGCGGCGGCACCGCCACGGCATCCATTCGGAAAGAAGACGCAGGTTCCGCGCTGGGCGCGGGGTATCCGTGGTTCTTCCGTTAATCCAAGTGACAAGGACGAGTTCGGGCTCCAAACGGAGTCCGGGCTCCGTTCACCAGCGAGTCAGGACGAGTTCGGCACCGGACCCGGCAGGGTTCCAAGTGGAGGTGGCATTGTAACGGTTCGGGTGGTTGTTGAGGGTTATTGTGGCCTTTTGGGACTTCTTTTGGTCCTTGGGAGTGTTGTTTATATCGTATTCCTTCAGCAAGCACTTCCCCCGCGATTTCATCAGCCCCTCAAAAGCCTGCTTCACAGTGATTCGCCCCCCCAAAAAGAGATCACACACACAAACACCTCTACTAAACGGACCGGTTTTTTCCTCAGGCGAAGCTTGCGACCCTTGGCGGCCTGTGCGCAGCTGAAAGATCTGCATGTGAAAGGAAACCCGCTCGTGGCCCGGACGTCGCGAAGCGCCGGCGAATCGCCGGTTTCGAAGGGAATGCCCAGACACTCCATGGGACTGCCATATATGCCGATCAGGCCAGGGGTGGTGCCAGAGGGGTCAATGTATGGAGCATATGCCAGTCCCATGGAGTGTTTGGCCAACTGAATGGGTAAGCAGTGATCCTGCGTTCCTCGCAAACGGGGCGTTTCTATTCGACCAACGGGGCATGTTCCAGGACCAACTGGAGACCTGGGTGTAGAGACCTGGATGTCATGGATCTGTGGGAAACTAGCTGGCTTCCTCCACAAACCGGTGGTTTTCAGATTCCGTTTTCATGTTCCGCAACAGTCGATAAACAAGTTGGCTGATGTTGGCCTTTACCAGCCATCATCATCCACTGAAACTGGTAGTGGGATATGCCCAAGCTAAGGAGCAAAAGCCATCAAATTCCATCAAATTCCCAGATCAGCACCTCCGATGTTTGCGGAACCCACCACCACCACGGTTCTGTTTTTGTGGGGAAGCCGGTGTTGGAATAAGCACCGTACATACCCAGACGCTCCGTGAACGACGCCCGACTGGTCCCGAACCAAACCGATGGTGAGAAACCCCAGACCTCTGACCCGAGGATTCGGGTCCGACCCCTCCAGAGGATTCGGGGCCAGACTTCGCGTTTGGGTGTCAGTCTATATCTCCCCTAAGAATCCTTGGGCTCTCTATGGCAGGGGTCGGACCCTCCATAGCAGCAGCAGGGGTTTGGACCCTCAAACCCTATCTGTTTGAGGGTCCGGATTCTTAGGGTCAGATCTATGTCTCCCACCCATTGCGTCTCTCGGCCCTCCATCAGCCCGCCCTTCGGACATGTCTCGTGCGGAGTTCGCATTGCGCCCGCAGCGCCTGAGGCAAAGGGTGAGGCTCGTGCACTGCTCTCGACGCTGCGACATCTCTTTCCCAGCTTAGCACCTCGGCGAACATCGACCAATGGGTTCGGGGTTTGGGGGCCTTTGGGGTCGGGCGGTTGGGGGAGAAGATCGCGGACCGGGTCGGTGAACAAGTGAAGAGTTGGAGCCTGACAGTCCGGTCATAACTCAATGGACATTTAGAGTATGACTTTTCAGGTGGGGTCAGATGAGTCATTGGAAGTTTCGGGGTTAGTATTAAAAGGATCCTATAGAGTAGAGGAATGAATCCCGCCTGCGCCTGCAACATCCTGCAACGCGTTGGTGCACATCTTCACCCTCATTTCAGAAGGTCAGGGCTATCCATTTTTTTAATGTAATGTTTTCTTTTTGTTCTCTCCTCCTCCAAGGTGAAGGGTTGCTTGGGCTGGGTAGAGGCTCCATGGGATTTGACACATGCTGGCGTTAATTAACTTAATCTTGATGCCCATTTTGTTTTACTCATGCTCTGGACTGGATAGAAAAAAACTTTAGCTGAACTCCCTCTCCCTCCTGGGAGTTTCTTCCACTGTTTCCACCTGCAGTGGTTCTTGCCCACAGCCTTCCACCCTCGCTTTTGTAAGATGTTCCTTTCACCCCACCAGGGCCCGAGATCACCCCAAAAAGACCACCCAGCAGCCCAAAAAGACACACCGGCCATGCGTTCCACACACCGGCCCAGGTCACTTTGGACGCTCAACCTCTCCACTTGAGAGGTAGCTCCCGCAGCTCCCACGTGCCGCGGCTGAACGCCGCGCCGCGGCTGGACGCCGCGCCGAACGGCGGACGTGGCGGATACGCCACGGTCGGTCCGGCGAACTATGCCAGGCGCGGTCCGCGGTGGTGCGGGCGGCGACAGCGACGTGAAAACCCAGTCCCAAGCAGGGTTCTCCAAAAAAAATTGTTTTTTGGGCACCCCTTGACCTCTAAGAGGCTGTTTATAGACACCTCTTGGAAGGTCCTGGTATAGAAGTCCCAGTCCAGTTGGGTTCGGACCAAAGTGTAAATTCATTTTTTGGGCAACCTGAAGACCATTGACCAAGACCAGAAATGTTTTTTTATGCATGACATTAAGAAGTGGCTGGGACTGGGGAAAGATTCCAGACTTCTTTCTGACTGGTTGGCACTGGATTTCCGTTGGGATCCGGGGGTCATGTGATCAAGGCTGACTCCAAGGGCTCCATGGGCTCAGACTGTTTCAAGCGCATAGAGGCCGCGCCAACGCGCCGGCCGGGTGTTCGGATGGGCGCCAGCCGAAGATGGGAGTCAATGTGTTCTTGTCTTCAGGGGAGCAGGTTCTCCAAACAGAGTGCGGCCTGACCCTCTCAGAGTTGCGATCCAAGGTGGGAACTAGGCCTGACAGCAGCCTACCGATTTTCTCTCGTGAGGATGGTTCTTTGTTGGAAGACGAGTTAGTGGAGGTCCAAGACGAGTCTCTCACATTGGTATGGGTGGAGTGGTGGCACATCTTTGACATTGAAAAGCCGTGCCCTTCAGAATTTCAGCGCTTTGTGCCCAAGGGTGGTGCCAACTTCAACGTGTCGCAATTGGAGATGGCGCTCTTGATGAGCCTCCCTGGCAGCGGAATTGACTACCATCGAGGATTGAGAGCTGACATTGAGATTGCCGTGGTGACTGTGCTGAGTTTCTACCGTGAGGGTTCAAGCCTCTTAGAGTCGGTGCGTGAATTCACCGCCTTCTCCATCGGCTACTTGCCTGAAGAGCTCGCCAGTGTGATCTCGGTGCTGCTCGCTGCGGCCATGACAGACATGGAGCGCCTGCTGACGGACGAGAAACTGAACCCGGAGCGCTTGGAGGAGCTCAACCGCTTCGGCAGTGGAGAGAACTTGACCGCCTTGCTGTTCTTGATCGAGGACTATGTGAAAAAAGTGGTCTCCACTCTCGAGTCGGCCGCCGAGTCGGAGGAAGAAGTGCCAATCAGCTTCAAGTTGGATCCTATGCCGAAAACCATTTGCGTGGGGAAGACTTGGAAAGAGGAGGCCTATGTGTTCTTTCAGCGGCTCCGGCCCAAGTTCATACGTTTCCTGGAGCTGCGCGACCTCTTGTCGTTTGACGTGCGCTCAGGGGGGATTGATGGCTTTGTGGAAATGGGAAGGCCTTTCACTCATGATCCAGATCATTACGAGCAGGAAACCCGGTTCAGAGGCTTTTGGGCACTCTAAAGCTGGAGGATTGGACCACTTCGACTCGTGCTTGTGATGTACGCCCAAAAACACGGCAAGGCTGCGAACACTGCAAACCTAGCCACGCTGGGAAAATGAGAGAGCTTGGCCGTCACGGACGGAGATGTGTTTTTTGCAGAAAACTTGACCATGACCTACATCTGAATATGTTCGTCATCATTCCTTGGAAGGACTGATGTTTTGGAGTTCTACATTGTGCATGTACAAATATATAGATATCGGCTAAGTCGTCAAACTTGTGAACGGTCTGACGAACATCTCAGGATAGAACTAGGTCATCAGACGTCGGTCGTCTCTTCTTAATCATGGACACTTGGGGTGGCGACTGGACTAAGTGTCGGTGGTTCGATTCCTGTGTGATCACCGACATCGGCACCGAACCACGACATCGGCCCAGTCACCGGACGGAAGCCCGCCCGCCCCACAGTCCGAGCGACAGGAGTCCAAGCAGCGAACCTTCGGGCCCCTGGCCAGTTGACTTCGGTGTGTACATGACGCGACCGGTCTGGACCCTCCGTTCAGGGACCGGGACCGGACCCGAATCCTGGGGTCAGGGGTCCGGACCCGAACCAATCCCGGATTTGAGGGACCGGCCTGTGAACGGAGCGTCTGGGCAATTCCATTGCAATCCCCCTTACGCTCGGGAAGATTTGAGATGGAACCTGAAAAACCACGGGTTGTAGAGGAAAATCGTCTTCCAGTCTGGTCCATCTCTGCAGGTTCCATGTGAGTTTTCGGGAGTGTAATCCGTGCAGTTTGGGGCTATGAGTCACCTCAGTTCCCGCTTCGCAGGTCCACCTGCAGTAGCCTGCGCCGGTCCACCAGCGAGGGCGCGGGTGCCGGAAGAGAAGGACGAGGTGAGCAGGTTTGGTGAGCAGGTTTGGGCTGGCTGGGCACGGGTGAGGTGATGGGTTTTGCAGCGGCCAGAACACGTGGAGAGGCATCATGTTCAGTCTCACTGAGGATGTTCTGCGCGAGACCGTGCGGATGTTGGAGAAGCAACGATCAAGAATGAGCTACGATCAAGCTTGGAGTGTTTGTGCATCAGCTTAGAATGGCCATGGCGATGAGACTATCAGAACTGCAGGTCAATGGTGACAATTTACTCTACTCGAAAATTCTTGAAGTTGTGCCAGAGTTGATGGTAGAGATCTGAAGCAGAAGACCTAAACAGCCTGTTCTTCACTTTGGCCAACCCCACCCCTGGAGTTAAGATCAGTTAAGGGGGTGAGCTAGGGCCACACTGTGGTCTGGACTGTGGTGTGGGTCCTTACAGAAGCAAGTCCAGTAGTTCATTGAGGTCCAACTGTAGGGCCGACACTGTAGGGATGCGCTCGCTTTGTTCGCCTCGAGCCCGCGCGACCGATCGCAGAACGCCCGCCCACCAGCACTCCAGCACCGCGCGGCGGTACGCAGCGCTCGGCGGTACGGCCCAGTGGCCTGGGAGCAGCGTTTGAGAGGAGGGAGAGGGCGGAACCGTTCAGAACCGGTGCATGGGCACTTCGGACGGCATGGTGCATAGAACATCTCAAAGTCACACTCAGAGAAGGCACTTGCGACACAGAGTCCATTGATGTGTCAGGTCCTAATATGCTCCCGAAACTTTTGAAACCACAGCACAATGTAAGCTTCGGTAGATATGTCAGCCCCACAGAGTTTTTGGGGAGTCTAGATGTCATAGTGTGTTTTCAGGTTGTTGGGGGCCTTTAGGGGTGGTTTCTTGTAGAACTGGTGGTTGCCTCCTAATCGGTGATGCCAGGGGAGACGGAGTTGAAGGTTCCGGAAGGTGACAGGATGGTCCAGGTATACCCTAGGCTTCCTGGCCCAACATGTTGTTAATGGTTTTTACTGAACCGCCGAGCTGTTTTACTAAGGGTTTTTACATGACAGTACCAAGGAAAAAGAACACACTATTATTCTTTCAATCTGGTCTTCGCTAAAGGCTAGGGTAGTGCTAGGGTGTATTGGATATTGAAACGATGTCTTGGTGAAGCTCCATCAGCTGGAGGAGTGGCTTCGGGATCTTTGGGGTTTCGCTAGGTATGCTGGTATGCTCGATAGAAGCCCAGGGAGCACGGGCAGCCGGCAGTGATATTGGAAGACCATTTCATCGGAGGGTTGTCCCGCCCAAGCTTGCGTGATTCATGAGGAACTTAGGAACCCTAGGGCTCCAGTCGTGCCTCCTCAGGTTCGGTATGACTGGACCCTCCTGGCACCCACCCCAGTCCCACCTTCTCAGAAGGTACGACTGGAGCCCTAGGGGAAGTTGTGTGGGAGATCGATTGGAGAGGTTATTGTACTTCCCAGACGCTCCAAACAGCTCGACTGGTCCCTCAAAACCCTAGGGATTTGAGGGTCCGGACCCCTCCAGAGGATTCGGGTCCGGCCCCTACTTCGCAGGGTCCATGAGAGGTTATTGGACTTGTGCATCATTCTTCCCCAGCGACTTTGGACCGGGTCCAGGAAGTGCTAGAACAGTGGCAAAAAAGTGACACCGAAAAATGAACTATGGAACCTGAAAAACCACGGGTTGCAGCAAATCGTCTTCCAGTCTGGTCCATCTCTTCAGGTTCCAATGTGGGTCTCTTCGGTTAGCGCGGGCGGGGTGGTCGATTGCAGTTGCAGCTGCACCACCGAGCGGTGGGTCGTGGGGAAACCCGCCAGAACTGGGTGCCTTCACGGACCTAGAGGTGAAACATGGTGAAACGCAGAAACATGCAGAAACCATCAGAAACCAACCCTTCAGATCCATTCAGATGACCCAAATGTTGTGACCCCTTCTGCCTTCTTAGGCCACTTTGCTCCGCCTCCTCGCCCCTGCTCGCCGCCGACCTCGGCGGCCGACGTCAGTGGCGCCACGCATGGCGAGCGCCTGGACGATCAGAGGGGTCAGAGGCGCCGTTGGTGCCGAGCCGAACCGGACCAAATGCCAGACAAGGTGAGCAAAGATGGGAGAAGACAAGACGCGACCAGGATGAAGGCGAGCCATGTTTTGGTGGGATGTCTCCAGATTGGACGCCTCAGGCTGTCTCCGGACGCTCGCTTCCGCGCATCTCCCGCGCGGGAGATGCGCGATGCTGCGGGGCGCCAGACGTTGACGACGAACAGGGCGACGGCGAAAGCTGTGGTACCGCCAAGGCGGCACGTGGGGTGAAGGTGGGCAGGGGAGCCTGAAAGCATGCTGATAGTCATGCTGATATAGGTGTGAGTTGTCACTGTGCTACTGATATAGCCTGCTTATATATGGTGAAAGCAGCCTGAAAGCATGCTGATATGGGTGTTACAGTTGCATTGACTTGGAGGGTTGTGCATTCACTTCTCCTTGATCGGTAGCTACTCGTGGACCGAAGAAAACCCGTAAGGCCCAAATAGATCAACGGTGTCGGTTTGCGTTGTGTTGCTTCAGAATGTTGCAGGGGAAGGGCTCCAACTCATCAACAATTTGTGTTGGCGTCCGTTGGAGTGCATATTTGTGCATGTAAAATCATGAAGACTTTTGGTAAATAATCTAATTCTTTAGACATGGGGGTGCCCAGCAAACGGGTGCCTTGGCCCCTTTCTCTCTTCTTTGATCTAGCATGATCTAACTAACTTGTTTGGTTCATGTGCGTGTGTGTGCTGTGTGAGTTGCTTTGGCATGTCATTGAATCAGGGATTCCAAGCGTCTAATCCCATCTAACCCCTAAGCACCATATCCTCGTGATGGTCATGCTTCTTGATCTTGGTCTTTCGTGGTGCTGAAGGCAGGCAACACTTGCGACGTAAGTAGCGACGTATGAGAGCAACTCACCGGTCCCATTCCGACTCGATTCCACGCCCACTTCAGTAGATTCCAACTTCGCCAACTTCAAACGACTGACCCCATGGAACCCACAGAGACCGGTGGTGACCGCAGGACGGTGACCCAGGAGCACCTGGTCCAATACCGATGCCTCATCGAGGAGGGTTGGGACCTGGAGTCGGCCCTCAGAAGCAACAGAGGTTGAAGGACCCAAACTAGACTAGACTATACCAAGTTGGGTACCACTACTATAGCTATAGAACGATAGGTACTATACCATAGGACCATAGGGTCCTAGTTCAGGTCACTGGCTACCTCTCTTGGAATCCACATTGGCCTATATAGATTGGCCCCCCCCCCAACGCCGCACCGGCCAACTCGGCCGTCCGGCAGACGAGTCCTGCGACGGAGCCGGAATCGGCCCACCGGCAGCGGAGACATCGGTTTGGTTTGCAGCCGGGGTCCATGGCAACACACACACACACCAGGACCTTCCAAGCCCGGTGGTTTTGGGGCACCCCGAATCACCTCTAAGGCTGTTGATAGACACCTCGACTGGAAGGTCCTGGCACATGTGTGTCTAAATCATCCTGGACATGCGTGGCGTGAAGAACACACCTGAATTCTACGTCACGTCCAGGTTTCCAGACCTCCAGGGCACCCGGTATATGTCTAGTGGGTCTGTGTCGTCAGGGTCGGACTTGTCACTCTTAGGGTCGGACCTATGGCCTGTAGCCTATGGCCTATGGCTAATCAATCTCATGCAAAGGGGTGATGTGGAGAGGCATGTGCCGTGCCGCTGTATTTCGTGGAAAGAGGGAACCAGAGAACTGGTCGGAGAGAACTGGGGAATGCGGAGAACTGTGTCACTGCAACTGGCGAAGAATGGGTTTTCGGCGTGCGTCCAAAGCAGGAAAGCGCTATTTTTTGTGTTCCCTTTCGGATGTGATTGATTGCGGTGTTATTCTGTTTTGGATGCAAAGCTACTTGAGAAATCTTGAGAAGGCCAGACACCGTTTCCCAGGCCTTGGTTCTTTTGCAGTGCGTTTGGTAGCGTTTTGCAGGACACTGAGTTGATGCCATGACTCCTGTTGTGCCCCATACCTCTCCACAAGTGCCCCCATGGTCAACGAATGTTCCAACCAAAACCCTCTAGCTCTTTCAATTCACTGGATCTAGCTCTTTCAATTCAATTCACTATACCCTAAGAATCCTTGGGCTCTCCATGGCAGGGGTCGGACCCTCCATAGCAGGGGTTTGGACCCTCAAAACCCTATCTGTTTGAGGGTCCGGATTCTTAGGGTAATCCTTATAGGCTACTACCAGGACCCCCTGCTATTGATAGCTCCTTCTGTTAGGTGCCCCTTCCTAGTGTGTCCTGGTACAGGCAACCAGCGTCAGACTTCGTCCGCTCCTTTTCCGCCTCGGCGCTGTCTCAGGAGAAGCGGCGCTTGCTGCGCAAGATCTCCTCGGAGCTGGGGGTGTCCTGGTGTGAATCGGCTTGAGATCGTTGAGGTGGGTGCCAGGGGTGTCCAACCACCTTCTGAGGACATGGATCTCCCTGGTCGATGGGAAATTAAATCACATACAGTCGGCCCACATTTGGGCCGGGAGGTCATATTGCCCTGTAAGACTCCGGGCCCTTCTCGAACGGAAAGGGTTTGGTTCGGGTCCGTTCCCCCCCTTGCGTTCAGAGTGTCTCCTCAGAGCTGCGGCGACTTGAAGATTTTCTATTTCCAGAGCGATAACCTCAGGACGGTCCTGGAAAAAAGAACCGTCTTTACGAAGCACGCGCCCAAACGAACCATCGCAATAAGCCCATGTCATGGTCGTTGTGCTCCAAAAAAAATTGGGCGGACTTGATCGCCACAAGTTTTGACGTTTTGACATTCATGATGCGACCAACTCACATCTGCGTCACGCCGGGGGACGTGGGTCCGTGGCGTTCGGTGGGTCTGTGACGCAGAGGGCGCGACGGCGGAGACCGGGTCCACCCACTCCATGGTTCGGCAGGGGTCGGAGTCTCCATAGGGGTCGGGTCCGGGCACCTCAAAGTACGCATGTAGGCAGGCCCGGATTCGGTATATGACATGATCAATCTATTTTGGAAAGTGGTGTGACAAGAAGCACTCAGGAGTGGAAAAGATCAGTTCAATCTGTAATTGCGTTCCGACTGCGTTCACAGTGCGTTCAATTTATGTTCGTTTTGCTTGCAAGACATGCTGCACAGCAGTTCTTTCCTCCGTTCTGGAGAAACTATTCTCACTCCTGAGTGCTTTTTGTCACCTCACTTCCCCAAAGATTGATATTTTCAATTGGAAGTGACAGTTATCACTTTTGGGGGATGCCAGGTAGATCCAGGTAGAAGATTAATTCCTCCACCTGCACCCTCCAACAGGTCACAGATGGAAACCTGTTAAGGCCCAAGAACACCCGAAAATAAGAAGACCTCTTCTGAATTGGGTCCTGGGTCTTTCAGAGAACCCTTGGGCTCTGACCCTGGGAGGGGTCTGGACCCTCCATCCGTGTGGTTTGGGTGTTTTCGGTGCAGCTCTGTTGGCCAGTCGATCAGCTCGGTATACCGGACGGTCGGTGGGACCAGCGTAGGATGGAGATGTATGGATGGCAGAATTCACCAAATGGCACTTACCAGGGTCATCCAAGGGGTTTTTGTCTGGAAGTGCTAGGTATCAATGTCAAGGATGGCCATGTTTTATCATGTGTGTCCCGTAGAAGAGACCATTCATGGCCAGGAATGATCCAGATCCGAGACATTCGAAACGGATGCTTCCAGCATGGTGTCCAGACACGACCCGTCTGGGACTGCCAGTCCGGACTGCATTGGGGCACGTGCCAGGGCGGTCTGGCTTGATCGGCAGTCCGGAACTGGCCCCAGACGGGTCGTGTCCGGGTGAAGGTGTCCACTGGATGGAAACCGGGTGCCAGGGCGGTCCGGATGAGTGCGTTCTTCCGGTCCATCCAGCAAAGGACGGACCGGTCAAGGTCCTGTGAGGTGATGCTTTGGACTGGACTGGGTGCTCTGCAGCACCCATCTCACAGACCCTTCCACTCTGGCAGCGGGGGTTTCCTTTGAGCTGTACTGACCTCCGAACTAAGCCAGTACATGTGTGCATACTCGGTGCCAGAGTATGTAATCCATTGCTGTCATGTTCCATTTTCAAGATCATTCATGGAATATATGGCCTACAAAACTGTGGTTTGAAGATGTTCTTGAGGAACTATTCCATTGCACCTCTCCCCCAGTCAGAGTGCAAAACCTGGTTCCATGTCCAGTCGCCCCCCCGCGCGCGCGAACGGACCCGGTTCACCGGCGGCGCCCCGGTTCACCGGCAGCACGGACGGATGGACCGCGGTCGGCGTCTCCGGTCGTCGTCGAGGACGGCGTGGCCCGGCGCTGCTTCTCCGAAGTGCCGCTGCTGCGGAGGTGCCGACCCCCCTGGGGTGCGGTGCGGTGTTCACAAAGTCCTCGGTCGGACCTTGATGCCGGTACAGACGGCCGTCGAGGTGGCGTTGAACCCGTGGGGTGTGGGTGAACGGGGGGGAAGGGGCGAAACCGTGACGAAATGGGGTGAAAAGGATTGAAAAGGAGGAATTCCATGGCCAAAGAAAGGTGTTGAATGGCAGTTTGCTATAGGTAGTGAAGGTGTTTGCTGGTTTTGTTTTCTTTTTAAGGCAGCCTTGAGTATGCTTGCGTTGGTTTTGTAGTCTCAAAATCGTCAAACACGGGTTGTTCGGTGATTCAAGCCATTAAACCAATGGAGTTGTCCAGTCGTACCCTCTCAGGTTCGGTACGACTGGACCCTCCTGGCGCCTACATAACAGTGTCGAACACATCACCATACCTGAGAAGGTACGACTGGACCCCTAATTAGGGTTTGATAGTACCTTACTTCACCAGATCCGATCCTGAGGCCGCCGGCCGGCCCTGTTGAGCCGACAAGTTTCACAAGCAAATCACTTGCCTTGTCGAACAAGGCCTGCAACCTATACCTGGATCTCCCAACTATGCAAAAGGTTCGCCTAGCTTGGCGGGTTTTTGTAGATGAAAAGGATTTAAGAGGCGTAAAGTGAGGTACATTTTGAATAAGTGTGGCATACCAGGGTCATCCTGTCTGGGTGTCCTGGCGTTCGACTACCCTACGCAAACAGGTCTCCTACTCCAGGGCACTCGGACTGGAAGTGCTAGGTACCTTGAGTCTTTAAAAATATTAGACCAAAAACAAAAACGCAGAAAAAAAAGGTCTTTGGAGACTCAAGGTAGTTGGAAGATCTAGGTATACCAGCAGGGCCCTCGTTCGGTCTGCGGTTCAGCACTCTGCGGAGGTGCGCCGTCGAAGATGGGTGACCTACCTGGTTTGCCATCCAACGGGGCACCAGGGGCCCCACATGGTCAATCTAAAACCTGGTGTTCCCTAGCAGAAGACGTGGTTTTGGTATGCGAGAACTATATAGTGGAAAAAGGGTGGCTCGCCTTGCCGGGAAAGCGGGGGGGAGCCACCAGTTCCAAGGACATGGCGGACATGGGTGCCCCTGTCACATCCACTCACTTGGCTTCCAAGAGCCACCCCGACATGTGTTTCATTGTTTTTCTCTTGGTGTACATCTCAACTGCTCCGGCCGCCGGGCATTTCCTGTGTCCGACTGAGGTGAGGCGACTGCCGTGTTGATGCTACGCGGCGACTTGCGGGATGATGTGGGAGCCAAAAGAGCAGATGCTGATGATCGCTTATGGCGAACGCTCCAGGGTGCTGCCGACGACGCCCTTGGCGAAGGGTCTGAAAAAGGGGAACTCAGAACACAGCAGCCCGGGCTGCAATTCTAGTTACAGTAGTTGGAGTGGTGTTGGGTCTGGACTCTGGACCCGGACATGTTCCTTCCGGCATTATGCCAGAAATTCGTGGAAGTTCGACATGAAGCATCATGATACATTTTGCTCCAAATGTGTGCCAGTATATAGAGAACTTATACACATGTCCCAGGACCTAGGACCCTCCAAAAGGTCTCCCCTGTGGCGTTTGCAGACTTAAGAGTAGCAGGTGGTGACATGTTGGAGGGTGCTGCTATAAATGTACAGTATACACCCTAGCCTTCAAAGACATTTCAAAGACCATGCAATGAACATAAAGATTGGTTGATCGGGTTGATCTCAGTCCAAAAAAGGTCCCAGTAAAACAAGAGTTCTTTGAACAAAGACCATGAAAAACAAAGTTCGGCCAAGAATCCCAGGATATACATACATAGAGAGAGAGATATTGTTCCCAGACGCTCCAAACAGCTCGACTGGTCCCTCAAAACCCTAGGGATTTGAGGGTCCGGACCCCTACTTAGGAGGGTCCATGAGCGTCTGGGTTATCTGAGGTACCCAGTCTGGCTGGGAGTCGGTCGACTGACAAGAGCCTAGTTTGTTGCCAGGCGCATTCCGCGGTGTCGACCGAGTGGCAGGATGGCTACCAAGCAGCTGCGTCCTCATAGGGTGGGGTGAGGATTCTCTCACACTCAAAGACAGGGAGAGAAAGAGAGGAAGAGAGAGAGAGAGAGAGATAACAAAAAATCGAAGAAAGAGCGGATTCATGGGGAATGAAACAGTTGGAGTGGAATACGTTCCAGTGGACTATGGTAGAATCCTACCTACTGCAGTCAAAAAATGCTGGGAAAAAGGTGAGCAACGCTCAGCACAGACACGCCCACACTGGCGTGCAAAAGGCATTTGGTCAGTTGGTTCTGGTGTTGGAGCAGGAGGCTGAGACCATTTGAGACCCCTGTGGAAAGCAGGAGGCTGAGCCAGGCTCAGACCCCTGAGCCTGCCTTTACATGCCTAGCGACCCCACTTTCCTGGCCAGCTTGAACTCTCTAGGAGATTCAATCCAGTTTGGTCTTGTTCTTGGCCTTTGCAATTCACGCGGTTTGCAGAAAAACTTCTATTGGTAGGTGCAGGACGCGTGTTTCTTTTGGGGCTGTGCATGCCCCTTACCTTAACAGCCTTAACAAGGGCGATGCCAGTGTTTTTGGAGGTGATTCACTGTCCTCGCTGATTCCACTTAGATTGTATCCCCGCAGTTATCTCACAGCCCGGGAAATACTTGAAACAATCATGGAAGTGGACAGCCGGGGGCTTTCAGGGAGTGCATCAGGAATCTATATGTTCTCTTCGGGCCGCAGCTCACTTGGGGCACTCGTAGCTTGACCCTTTCGAACATTAATTAACCCCTGAAAATCCCTGCGACTGGACTTTTTGCCGAACAGTTGGGGTGATCTGAAGATGTTTAAGGATCCATGTAGGTCCCTAGGGCTCACCTTTGTTCCCACCTTCAACCACATCCTGAAGGTAGTTAGACCATGTTAGACCCACTTCAACCACTTGCGAAACAGAGGTCGATACACTCCGCCGAACACATCACATGGTTACGTGGATGGCATGGGCCCTTGGAATACCATGTTCCTTTGAGGGCAAACGGGCGGTGCCATCCACGTAACCATGTGATGTGTTCGTCGGAGTGTCGAGCTCGAGATCCGGCCTTTGACACCTCATCTGATGGCCTTCGTGGTGCTTCACCTGTCGAGGTCGCTGCGCCCCTGGATCCGCGCGGGGGCCCGGACGGTGCGCAGCAGGACCTGGGATGACCTGTTTGGAATGGATCGTCATGGATCCTCAATGGGTTCAGATCAGATGTGGAAGATCATTCTTGAAGCATCATGGATCCAATGATACTCAATCGACTTTTCAACCACTGCAATGGATTGGCAGAAAATGGGGGGAAGCTGAGTGGATCTGAGAGGTGCTTCAGACGTTGCTTCACTCGCGTGGATGGGATTGAAGTTGATGTTGAGTTCTTCTTCACTCGACATGAGTTGAAGAATGTTGAGCGAGTTGTGCTCAGTGACATCCGTGTCTCTTTTTCTCCTGGCAGCCTCCATGGGGCTGAAGAGAAGTGGCAGGTGTTCCCAGTGAGTGTTATGAGTTATTCCATATTTGGCTTGGGTTCGTACCATGACCTGCAGAGCCATCGATCAACAACTATCACTACCTTTAGAGAAAGACCCTTATACTAACAATCATCATCCACTGGTAACGGGGTAGACCCAATACGGTATTTGGCACACATCCCACACAAGCCGCTGATTGGTGCTAATGAGCGAAGGTCTCTGTGCTAGTGACTGCTAGTGTCGATCAAATGCACTAAACCGGTGACACTGACGGTGGATGCGATGCCCGGTCTCTCCCAGTCTTTGTTTCCCCGAACTGGATCGAGCGGATAGAAGTTCCCGGCACGGGGGGCCGAAGTGACGGTGGCCCCATCGCCATGCGGAGTTCGAGTTCCCAAGACCCGGGACTGCCATATATGCCGATCAGTTGGGGTGGTTTTGGGCATATGGCAGTCCCATGGGTCGTGTCTGGGAATATGTTTTCTTCGGAGGTTTAGAGGCGACGAAATGGCGGCAAAGCGTGCCTAGCTAGTAACAGCTTGTAACACAGCAATCGTGCAAGCAGCAGGTGTTTGAAGAGGTGTTTTGCGTGTGGGTGTTGTTTCAAGATTAAGATATTGAACCCCGAATCCAGCGTGGTGAATCGAGCTCTTCACATCAAGTCCCAGCAAGGGCGCTTTTCCGTGTGGTCCTAGCACTTCAGGCAGGACTTGATGAAGCTCTTCAAGACCGCCGCAGCCTCACCTCAGGCGCCATCCTCGCGTTTTCGGAACCGCCCCCTCCAAAGCGTCCACCTGCAGAGTCCGCATTCCCCCCGGACTAATGGGACTGGCATATTTAACCATACATTGGGGGGTGGTTGGCTTCAGGGGGTCAATGTTGGCATATCACGAAAGCTAGCCTCAGCTAGCTGGAGTTGCTCTATGTTGCTCTTAGCAAGTTAAGCAAGTCAAATGATGGGGTGGATGGCGCCTCGGAAACCCGATGGAGTGGCCAATTTCATGGAGTGTTCGTTTGGGGTTCCGGGGGCCGCCCCGGAGGCTTTGGCCCAATCACGAGGGTCTCGGGGTTTGGGCGGCGGCACGGGTCTGGTGTCCGGCCGGAAGGGCGGGACGGTTGCGTGGGAGGCTCGTAGTATCTACCCTGGGACGTCCAGGAAAGACCATGTTTCAAAAACGGTCCGACTTGGTGATCCGAGTGAAGAGGAACGAACACGACCGGGTGGTGCCTCAAATGGTCGGTTCCTGGACTTCTAGGGCCAGGAGTGGCCCCCACTTTTCCCATGAAACAATCGCCGGCTGGTTTCATAGGAACGGTTCAACACCCGCTTCTGCCGGTGGTTTCGTTGTGACCTAATGACCATGTGCAATCCGGATTCACCCAACTGGTAGTTGGCACTCCACGGAACCATGAGGTGTTTCAGGGAATGTAAGGAACCATGTGCGCTGAGCATTGTGCTGAGCATGTCCTCTTCGTGGAGCACACCTGGTCGTAGAGAAGCCTGGTCCCAAAGGCGAGTATTCAGTGGAGGAATGAGGAGGGTAGGCATTTCTGCGGCAGAAAGCCAATGAAAGTAAAATTGTTGAGCTCTAAGGTGGTAGGACTGTTTACCGCACGTTTGGTACTTGGTGCTGTTTTCAGGCAGAACCATCTCACACTGTCATGATCCGCACTACCCGCGGCCCGGGCGCCTTTTTCGCCGATGTGGGTCGCGCCATCGTTTTGGGTCTCACCGGGAGCGATTGGTTTGAAGCTCTGAGGAGTTCCCAACCCGCAAGACCCAAAGAAGGGCCTCCTGGGCCTTTCGGAGATTTCGGCCTCCTAGCCTGCCTAGCGCTCTGCAAAGGAGTTTCCTCATTGCCCCAAAAGATTCCACCAATCTTCGCCTAGTTGTGTGGACGTCGACCACCAGAGAGATTCTTACATTCACACGCCCTTCAGAAACAGAAAAAAAAACATAAAACACGTTATTGTAGCCTTCAATCTTCCAGACTTCCGCGAAACAAATCTGGTGGTTGTTGGGTCCAAAATCTTCGCGCAGGATGCCTTGCAACGGATGTCCCTCAGTGGTACGCCCAACTTGGAGCAGTGGAGCGAGGCGATTTCAGCCGCTCGGCGACGGTCTCCGTCTGGTCTGGGCGGCCGCCCGTTGGGCGGCGAAGACGGAGAATTCCGAGCAGCTGGAGGACGGTTCTTCTGTGGTCTGTTCCAACTATTCAAACCTGCCAAACATGAACATGGCTAGTTTTAAAGATGAAAAGCCAGACACGTTGCATAGTTGGAAGACTTATAGGTAGACCTGCCCCAGTAAATTGAGGTCTTTGCCATGTCTAGGGATAGACCCCATTGAGTGATGGCAGAATGCAAGCTGACGCTGAGGCTTGGGCAGAGGAGGATTGCCAGATCACTTGGGTCAGATTTTTGAGAGTTTGGATGATTCATGATGATTCATACCAGGATCATCCTGTCTGGGTGTCCTGGCTAGACTACCCTACCCTACATACCATCCAGACAGGGTACCCATTGGAAGTGCTATAGGTACATATTGATATATGTGTTTGTACTTATGGGAGGCTGAGTCACAATAGCCTTACCGTCACCAAATCAAGGGTTGACACTCTGGCAGGGTAAATGTTTCGCATCGGTATCCGGAGAACTCCGGTGGGCGATCATAAGGACCCGATCCCGTTCAAGGTTGCTCGGCCTTCTTCTCTTCCAAGCGGCCGTGCATCGACGATGATGGCCCTCGAGACAGAGAGGAAAGCCCGACCGTGACGGGAAATGGTGCGACGGGCGCCTGCGGGCGCCGTGCCTGGCACAGGCTCTGGCTTTGGCCGCTCTGGCCGCTCTGGCCTGAATCACTTCCAGCACCGAACCCAACAGGTCTCCTTTGGAGGGTTGTTAGGCCCTATTCAATTGGTGACCTGTGAAGTCGGTGCTGGTTGTTGAGAGCAAGTTCCAGAAACCATGCAGCATGCCGACTTGTCCACTTAGTCGGGTGAGGCCCTGGACTCCAGGACTGGGCCTGGTGCCTGGGAGATGACGAGAGGACCACAAGGGGTCTCAAGTCGTACCTTCTTTGATTTCTACTTCCAGTTGCTGCAGTGCATTGCATTGAACTTTGGCAGGTGTGGAAGTGTGCCCACGTCCATCTCCGGAGCTTATGCCAACAGTTGCAAACAGCTTGCCGGGAAAGACCTGCAACATTTCCAATGAAGATCTCAGCTGCTAGGTGAACAGAAATCCGGTAAAGGGGTTTGTGACATGTTGTCACACACCGAACACGCCACACTTTTGGGAGCCAAGTCTTCCTGTTCGTCTTCGTCATTGGAAAAACCATGAGGAAAAAAGATATCCCAGCCAGCACCACGGATTTCGGGTGTCCATTTTTTCGCCCCAAAAAGAGGCCCCGTCGGGGTGGCTAGTTGAGCCACCCCGACTGGGGGGTCAGAAAGAGTTCCAGTCGGGATTGGACTGGGATGATGGGCCTTCTATTCCAGTCCAATGGCGCCATGGCTCGTTCCGAACGTCGTCCCGGCGGGACCCGGTGCACCGGTAAGTCCGCGAAGACGAGTCGAGGTCGGCATGTCGACGAGCGCAGGGTTCGTCCGGACCGTTTTGGGAGGTGAAACGGGATCGACCACCGGTTCGAGACCGATTTTTCGTCCCAGTGGGATAGGGATAGCCTCTTTTGTGATGGGATGATGTGGGGCTTTCATTTAAGGGTCGACCCGCCTACCGCAGTCGACCGTGAGAACCTCGACCGGCTCCGGAGACTGGATCGGCAGCTGAGGATTGGAAGTGGGGTCTTTCACGTTCCGAGGCTGGGCGTTTTGTTTTGTGCATGGCAGTGTGTAATTCAGGACCCTAGAAGTATATAGACCATGAGGCCAGGCTGGGCGATTGATGCATGGTGTAGAATAACCATGACCCGGTATACGTGGACCACTACGTGGACCATGAGCCCCAAGAATCGGACCATTCATGACAATTCGATCTCTCCCATATACTTTTGTTTTGGAGTTGGAGAGAGTGGATATTCATGCTGGCTGGTGCATGTTGCAGATCGCGACGATCTTCCATGGCATTGATGCCAATGGAGACGGAGAGGCCGAACGACCCGATTCGGGCCGATCGGAAGAGTGCGAGGTTTCTGAAAGAGGTTTTTGACCAGGAGGATGTTGGAAGGATGTTGGTGCCATTGAAGCATTTTCGAATGCTATCATAGACCTGCCACATGGATGGAACCTGCCAAGGGGTCAGATTGAGTGCGGCGGCTTCAGCCTGGTGACACCGATTTGGCGTTCGGTGCATAGATTCTTAGATGCTTGAACTTGAACCTTTCAATTGACTATACCAAGCACCAGGGGCCCCACAAGCCATCAAAGACCAGATATGACCAGATGTTCCTCAGCAAAAAACTCTGCTTTTAGCCGGTGCAAACTGAAAACCTCTATGTTTCATAAGTTTGAGAGGGCCACTGGTCTACTGGAGAGATGGCATCCTGTAGGAAAAGGCCAGGTGGAAGGTGCCACGGCTGCTACTAACTCATGCCACGTCACTGGAACATGACCAAGTTCGGTGGGGGACACAGACCAAGCTCGAGAGGGTAATAGGTATGTACACCGTGCATGAGACCGATAGGGAGGACCCAGGTAAAGCAAAAGACCTGCAGAACTCCGTGGTGGTAGAGGAAGATCATGAGAAACGTACATGATTCGCATGGTCAGAAATCAGTCTGCTTGTAGTTCTACTGCTCCCAATGGAGTTCTGTCTTCATGCACACTCTCACCCGTGTAAAACAACACGCACCTGACATCCATACTTGGTACAGCACGTAGACGTCAGTCCCCCGCGTGGAAGACTTCACGCCGCAGACAAGCTGGTTGAGGTGGTGCCTATGGTGCCCAGGACCCTAAGCCGAGCCTAAGCAGCCAAGCCTAAGCAGCCACACAGGACCCTAGGGCGGTGCGACTCATTGCGGCTTCCAGGTCACCACCTGCAACTTTTTAAGTGTACAAAAGCCTCCATGTCGGACACCTGTACGGTCCTGCTAGGGAACTGCAGCGAGCTGCAAGTGCAGCTTGCCCAGTAGGGCGCTCGTCAAGGGTCGTATGTATACGTACTATTTGCATGAGTTACGTGAGCATGATGGAGTGGCAACACCGGCCCTGAACCACTGGCAGGAGGATCAAGGCAAGAACATTCCAGTAAGCACTAAGACAGGGAGCCAACGTCACCGCCATATCACTGCAATGGTTCCCTGCAAGATGGTTTTCCTCAACTGGTGGCTGCCTATATCAGCCTTCGACGCATTCCAGGTGACGCTGTCCGAGCTGCTGGCTTGCTTCAGGCGGGATTTCGGTCCTAATCCAACCCGAAGCATTCGTGTCGCATGATGAAACAAGGCAGCCTCCCAGCCAGGCGGCCCCGATTGCCACATCGTCCCAAATCAAAAGCATTTGTTTGGGCCCTATACCCATCACATCTCATCAACACCAGCCGCGGTATGTTCTGGATCTGAACGCCCGAGGCACGGATATCAACCCGTGGCCGTGGCTCATCCTGCAGCGGTGCTTCCGCCCGAGGCCTGGCGCCCGGTCCACGGAGAACGTTTTCGTTGGGGTTTGACTGGGCGGCCAGGTAGCGGAACCGGTGAGCGGTCCCGTGGCGCGGAAGTGGCATATTAACATACGTTGAGGTGGTTGAGTTCAGGGGTCGATGTAGGCATTTCCGAAGGACAACGGCACTAGGATCTGACAATCACATCTAAACTTTTGGAAGTTCGAGCGCGTTTTCGGAGCTCATTTTCTGAATCAAAAGCGCAGCAAGTTCGGATTAGACTTTGGACTTTGGCAGAGTCATATGGAGTCTCTTTTCGGGTCTCCTCTCCCCGATGTTTCTGGTGTCGGTTTCGCCGGAAATCCCGGTTCGCTGCGCCACGTCCAGGCGCCGCACGTCTTGCTGCCGCACGGCTATGATTGCACGGATGGTGTGGAGATGTGGAGGCGCCGGATGGGGCGTGCGACGGATGCCGTGGAACCAGGAACCGGTAGAAGAGGTGAAGCCCAAGAACCATGCCAAACCCTTCTGTTGAGCGGTTTTTCTGGGAGTGCCAGAGCTTGACTGTATAATCCCTACCAGGACCGACACCAAGAGGTGTCCCATTAAACAGCTTCTTAGAGGTGATTTGGGGTGCCCCGAAACCACCTGTCGGAAGGTCCTGGTATTGTTTGAATTGAAACAACTCCTCAACGTTGGGGGGGTGATGCACATCCACATCAACGACCCGAGTCGGCGCCTGGAACAAGCTGGAAGGACCTGCAACTTGCAGCTTGGAATTGTTTGCTCATGAGAGTTTTTGGTTCTGCGGGAGTTGGAAATCAAGCAGATCCGCTGGAACATGAAGCCAAGTGGATACGTATCAGGACATATCAGGACCTTCCGAAGTCTATAGATTTTATACTATATATATATATATTATAATAGTATACTGTATATATATATATATCACCCCCCCCTTAATTATGTAATTCAAGCCAGGGGGAGACATAATGTAATTACATTTTGGGTTTCTTTTTTTGGGGTGGGTGGCTGGATTGTATATCTGTGTATGATTTTAATACCCATTTGTGTTTAGAGTTTAGGCGGAAAAGGTTGCTTCAGGGGCCCATGTTCCAGGTCCATGTTTGTTGAACGGAGGGTGAGCAACGCGCGGTTCGATTTGAAGATTTGGCTTTGTAGGCCGGAACATGTGGTGTGGCAAGATCAGGAATGAGAGGTCCAGCATGACTCACAAGTGCACGAGGCTCAGGTGGACATCAGCAATTTTTACAATTTGAGCCAACTTTTCTCTACATAGGCGGACAAGGTGCAAAACAGAATGAAATAATGTGTTCCAAACAGCTTCACTTTTTTGGGGGCTCCACGACGGGGACATGTTGTGGAGCGTCGAGAGTCGCGTCCGCTCCCATGATGGGGTGATTGACATGTACTGGTGGTACGGCCAGAAGTGTTTCAGATCTGAGAAGTCAGCTGGGAGCCACTTGGAGATGATTGCGGGTGCTTCATTAGTTTGGGGTTCCCTTCCAGGATCTAGACCTAGTGAGTTTCCCGTTATCTTGACAGCATTTGACTTTTTTCTGCGCTGAAAAGTGTTTCATTTCACTCCAACCCAAATCTTGTTGGGCAAAACCTTTGCATAGACAGATGACGACGACAAACGCCCTATGACTACTTCCGACACCGCTCAGAATTTGCCTTTTACCTCCTCCAGCTCGGAAAGGAGGGATGCGGCTATGCGACGAAGCTGGCCATCCTGCGGTGGTGAAAGTGGATCCCCCAGCCTTTTTGGTGAGCATGGGTCTGACAGCTTTTGAAGAGACTGGACTTCTGCTATTAGAACTTGGGAGCTGTGTGCTGTTGGGTTTTCAAAACCGTTTGC